GACCCATTTTTGCGGTTTCCAAGTTGACATTCAGCTGAGCCAAACCCACATCTCACTGTATTTCCGGCTCCCTAAAAATGTTTTATCTAAAATTATTCTGCAGAACTGAAATTTCTTGCCATGAACATGTCTAATAATCAATAGAATGTGTTGATTCAAACTGAATACCGCACTCTCACAGTGAAAACCAGGTGCATCAAAGACCTTGTTGGAAAAAGGCCAATTTAGTAGATAATAGTAGAAGGCAGATTTATTGAGAACTGAATTCGCAACGTTTCTGCCTTCACAGAGGCCTTTGACAAACGTCAAACGAAACGTTGTGATTTCAGTTCTCAATAAATCTGCCTCTTTGAAAAAACCTTGAGTGCCTGGACCTACTTTCTACTAATGTTTAATAATCAACAGAGGGCATTACTTTGTGCAGAACATAAAGAGTAGGAAGAAGGAAATGGCCTGGCATTTGATTGTCAGTGAGCTAAGATGGTGTCGCTCATTGATGGTATACCTTAAATACGGAATTATTTTTTTCAGCAATTTTAATCAAACGGACCTAAAATAGCATATATTGGAACTACATAGAATACTTGAGACTAAACAAATATTTGTAGAAATGTAGCTGTTTCACTTTAAAGGCAAAGGTTTTGAAGCAAGATGGTGTTCAATTTAACCCCTTAATGACCAAACTTCTGGAATAAAAGGGAATCATGACATGTCACACATGTCATGTGTCCTTAAGGGGTTAAAAATGGGTCCAGCATTATTCTATACAAGTATCTCAGTGGAGACCTCAGTGGAGACCTACGTTGTACTCCTAACCTAAAACTTCTCTTAACCACCTTTTCTCCCTTCGTTGTTTAAAGTTTAAGTGTGAAAAAGAGGCTCATGCAGTGGATGTCTGTTGGGAGCAGGCCCGGACTGGCCATCGGGCATACCGGGCAAATGCCCGGTGGGCCGCGATGGCCGTGGGGCCGAGGCCGGCAGGGAGATCCCAGGATCTCCCCTGCCAGCCCCTGCAGGGCCAGCGCTATCCGAGCGCCAGCCCTGCTATGTGAATCCATGGGCTGGTGGGGAGATCAAAGATCTCCCTCACCGGCCCACAGACAGTGAGATGCGGCCGCCGGCTGGGGAGAGAGGACCGGCGGAGCTCTAACCCGCAGCTCCGCCGGGTCCTCTCGCGAGATTCTGAGCGTTACCGCGGCAACGCTCAGATCTCGCGAGAGTGAACTCTAACCCGCAGGTTAGAGTTCACTCTCACCACTGGACCACCAGGGAATGCAGCATGGTCCCCCCTCAAGGCTCCCCCTCCCAGGCAGAACGGCTCCCTCCCCCTCCCAGGCAGAACGGCTCCCTCCCCCTCCCAGGCTAAAGGTAAGAAGGGGGGGGGGAGCACAACTTTTTTTTAAATTATTCATAAAAAAATATATATATATATTTAAAATAAATTCCCTAACAGCCCCCTCACAAACAGGACCCCCAGACACACACACAGCACCCCAGATACACACAGCACCCAGACACACACAGCACCCAGATACACACAGCACCCAGACACACACAGCACCCAGATACACACACAGCCCCCCCAGACACACACAGCACCCAGATACACACACAGCCCCCAGACACACACAGCCCCAGATACACACAGCACCCCAGACACCCCACAGCCCCTACACACAGCACCCCCAGACACACACAGCACCCCAGACACACACAGCCCCCACACACAGCACCCCCAGACACACACACAGCACCCCTGACACACAGCACCCCCAGACACACACAGCACCCCAGATACACACAGCAGACACACACAGCACCCCCAGATACACACAGCACCCCCACACACACACAGCACCCCAGACACACACACAGCACCCCCAGACACACACACAGCACCCCAGATACAGCACCCCCAGACACACACACATAGCACCCCCAGATACACACACACACACACACATATATATATATATATATATATATATATATATAATATAATATAATATAACCCTCAGTGAGTTAACAGACAAAGAAAATTAGAAACCTAGAATGTGACGGCAGATAAAAACACCCTCACAATATTTGGGATTCAGAAATGCATCTGTTAGAGAACAAATATCAGCACATAGTGAAGCACAGTATGATACAGTAAACTCTTCGCTCAAGAATTGCACTCACAGAAATATGGACGTTTTTGCGTATTTGGATGTCTCCCCTGGTTGAGGCTTAGGGGGCTATAACCTTCTTGACTTTCCTCTCCACCATATGTGAAGTCCAGTATTGGAAAATGGATGGATAACTCTCCATAGCACTTCAAAGGGATTTATTGTGTGCAAATAAGCAACAAATAACAAATATAATAAAAAAAAAAAAAAAGGTAAAAATTGGTCCAACATGTTATCCCTGTCCATCTTGCCCTTTAAATAAACCTATTCCCTTACAGTCATTGGTAGTCCAGTGGACGTTCTTTTTCTCCTCAATCCAATAGGTAGTTGATCCTCTACTAGCAGTTGTTCCTTGGGCCCTCACCTCCTCACACAAGTGGCACTGGTTTCAATATAATAGAATCCATCGATCTTCTGAGAACACCCGTTTGTGTTTTAGCGCTATGTTGGATGCGTTCCACCTACTCCTGTACTCTCAATCACATGTTTGCGACCCAACAGCATTCCAGCACCATATTAGATTGTGCTCCAGGCACTGTATAGTGAAGGTGGAATAAGCCTTATTTAAAATAAATTCACATTGGCATATTTGTACATAAAATAAAAAGAAAATGTCAAGATGCAAGATATAATGGAGATTCATATCTAATATCTTATATCAGTTAACTATAATTTTATATTAAATAAAATATTTTATTTACTTGCCTGATCCCAGCGCTGATGTCCCTCGGCGTTGGGTCGACATACCACGCCTCCGACGTCCCGTGAATGAGCTGAAGTGGTGTGGGTGCCTATTGTGTCCCTTTGATATGATAATAATGAAATAGGCATGAACACAAAATACATGAATACAAAACAGAAAAATTATTAGTGATACCTGGAGCCGTTATAAATATTAGGCTCGAAACAAGGTGAGCCCATTTTTTTTTTATAACAGAGGTGTATGCCATTGATATATTTCATACAGCACCAGTGTTCTCCCTTGTTTGTTTATGCTTCCTTTGAAAGATACAAGTAGGCAATGTGCCACCTTTAAAGGCATAGAAGCACACATTTTAGAGATTTCTAAAAAGGCTCCAACAAATGTGAGTGTAAATAACATACCCAACACTAGAGGACATTATTGATATTTACGCACTAAAAGCGGTAAAGTATTTTCATGTTTTTTTCTTTTACACATACTACATGATATCCCGTGAAATCTAGGGGTACGTTTGATATCAGTATTAGCACTTCACTCGCACTATTTGTCTGGTATATTCAAAGTTAGTTTTCTATGTAGTAGTGTTGTAGAATTATTAGGCCTCTATAAATCTGTAAGGCTCCTTTAAATCCTCTTGCTATACCTCTAAGAGGCCCCCATAGTTTTACAAGAAAGCTTTGTCTATAGAACATAGAATTTGCATGGCAGCAAGAAATAGCTTTGATAAAATGTGTATTTACTAAAAGCCTTGAAACCTAACCTTGAGAAACTAACAGTGCCAGCTACACTCTAAATGGATAGCTGCCAAAAGGCCCCTCCCGTCGAGTGAGCTCCTCATGTTAGCAAAATGGCGCTAAAACCTGGAGGAGATGATCATGACGAGGATAGTGACTTAAGATGGTACACCCCATAGGGAGGGCATTTTACTAACATCTTAGCACCTAAGCCAATTAACAATGTCTATTTGTCTATATCTTGATTTTCTTCAATGATGTAATAATGCCTTTAAAAGGGTCTGCGCACCCATTTTCTGTCAGAAGCCATTAAACTTCTCCGAAGTTCTTTCATTAACCTGAACTTTGTGTCTCAGTGTGAATTTACTTCTGCGTGCACGCAACTTTATTATCATTAATTTGGACAGGAACAGATAGTCATTCAAACTAATTGGTTTGCAGTAAATTATCTACAACAGCTGGCGCCCAACGTGGGGCTCTGGGCTATGTCCTGCCTGGGCAGCTGTCCAAGAAGATGCTGGGGGGGGATGAATCCTGGGGGAAGGAAAAGAGCCTGATCACCTCTGAATACACGGTAGAGATTGCTGCAGCACCTAGCCGGTATGTTCCTACCCCTGTGATTGACCTGTCCCAGTGTCTGTGACTGCTGCCGAGAGGACATCAAAGTCAGGTAATAACTTGCCCAGAGTCTTTGTATTGTTAATGATACTTAATTTACCTGCATGTTGACTATCTGTTGCCTGGGTGTGTTTGTATTGGTTTGTGTTTAACTTAGTCTACCCGGGGAGTGTAAGTGCCTGTTTAACTCCTTTTAGGTACCACGTGGCTGTGGTAGTAAGGAAAAAGGGGGGTGGACCTGTGGAAGTTTTCCTGGGGGTCCTCTATTGCCTGTTTAACTCTTTTAGGAGCCACATAGCTGTGGTTGTAAGGAAAAAGAGTAGGGGGAATCTGTGGAGGGGTGTAGACTCACTGCTTCCTGGGGGTTCCCCATAGTGTTGCTTTGACTGCTTAGCTAGCCTCATCGGACACTTCTTCTTGGTAAAATTCCAGCCTCGAGCGCTGAGGCAGGTAAGATTCCAATTCTTTAGGCTATACAGGATTCGGGTTGGAAGCTGTTGCTGTTTCCTGTGGCTGCTGGTAGTGAGACTTGCGGGTGGGTCCGCAACAGGGACACTACGAGGTTGAGGGAGGTGGCTTTTGGCCACACGAGTAAAGGCAAGGGATAAAACTGTTGAACTTATTTGAACTGTGATGCATGCACTGTATTTTATTTGAAATGTTATTGTCTTAATTGTCTGTCACACAGATTCCTGTGTTTACTTTTATCTTACTCACTGTACTACTTACACTTTCCCCTCCTATTTCTCTTTCTCTGTTGAGAGAAGTGATTGGTCACACACTTCTCGCCACGCTCCAATCCGCGGCTACCACGGGTAGGCGGAATCAGTGACTAGTCTACGTTTTGGGAAGACGTACTTAAAGAGCTTGCTCTTAAAGTAGCAGTTGAGCACGGTAGACGTTCTGTTCCTTTCTCTCTATATATCTGGGACGCCTTGTATAGGGAGGATGGGACAGAAGTTAGATAAACCCAGTAAGGGTTGGTTAGCATGTGATCTAGTGGAAGACAGAGAAGGAGAAGAGATGGTTAAGAAAGTGAGGAAGATTGCTAAAGTATGTGGAATTACCGTACCTCCGTGCGGCAGATTGTAGCCAGAGAGCTGGCGTAAGTTACTGACAGAGAAGAAAGGGAAGCTGTCGGACCAAGATTTGGTTCGTACAGCAGAAGCCTGATACCGAGTAGCAAGAGCTATTCAGCAAAAGGGATAGGTTGAGGAAGATATTGATCACAAAGGTTTAAGATTGTTTGTGTATTATAATAATTGTGTTACTGGGAAGTCCCCCCCCATCAGTCCTACAGATCTCGTCACCCTCATCCTCTCTCTGCAGCTCCCTGCACCTCCAGTCCGTTTCTCCCGTCAAAGATTTCTGGTTTCCAAACGTATAAGTCTCTGTCCTTCTGTCTTGTTACTTTACAGCACTCACATGGTTAATCTTCATGCCTGCAGTCTCGCTCCCTTTTTGCACTGTCTCACATTCTCTCCCCCCCCCCTCCTCCTCCCCGCTTGCCTACATTTCCAGGAGCTACTGATAAGAGTTAGAGACGGGATTTTTGCTGGAAAATATTCTAATCCAAAGGTTATGGTGTTATAATTGTGTAATAATATTATTATTGTTGCCGTTTGCCGTTTATATATATATATAAAATGTGTTTTGTGATAAGGCAGTGAAGATTGTGGGGGGGGCTCGCTCACAAGAATACATTCCACCTTTCTGAGTATTCTCTCCAAGACTGGTGTATAAGACAGGGAGTCAGGGATGTAGCTCAGTGTTGATTACGGAGGTTAAGTAAGTGAATCTGATACAAGAATAGAGGAATATTTGGACGTGTTAAGTGTAAAGGCAAGCGTGATTTGTTGCAAAACTATGCAATGTGGATAGAGGGAATATGCGAAGTTAAGCTAGTATGTGAAGAGGAAAGTGATTAATGGTTGGAGGAAGATAAGGGAATTTGGTTGAATTCCGTGAGTTTATCTTGCATCATTTTAAAGAACATGTTTCTAGAGACAGCTGTATGGGCTGTTAAATGCATAATGTTTTCAACTGTCTTATTTAACCTGCCAGGTCTGTTCATAGTTTAGTATTTCATTTTGCAGAACGGAATGTTGCTTCTCTGACTTATTTTATTAGTTATAATATAGTGTATTGTTGAAAGTGCATCAGCCACCACCCTAAAGATGGCGCCTAGTACAGAAGGAGGTTGACCCTGCCAGTCCCGTGACCTATCTACAGTCACGGTTGCTTCTAAAGTGACGTCACTTCCGCCCTTACCATGCCCACACCTCCTGTCTTCCTTTCCCACACCTATCATGGACGTCACCTCACTTCCTCCCTTGCTGTCATTTCCTTCCCCGCCCCTGTCATGGCTGCCTCCATCATGAGGCCTACCCCTATCATGCTCGTCCTATTTAGAGACATGTTGTTTTCCTTACACTCTACATATTATGAACAGAAACATTATAATTACTGAAACAATCATGCCATTTGTTTCCCTGTATCAGAAATTTGTCCGTGATATAAAAAAAAAAGAAGGTTGCTAAAATGTAATTTGCAACTGTGGTGTGACCTACAAATGAGATCTGTTGGACACGAATATAAGAGCATAACAGCTGATTATCCAGATTAATCTTGCAACAAGGGAAATAGCTAAATAATGCAAGTTATTTTAAACTTTGTATCTTTACTTAATCGAATCTTGCTAGTTACAGACCGTAGGTTTACAGTAACATCCTTTACTTTAAATGATGGTTTAGCATTAGAAGGGTTTATGACATGTTTTATTAACCCAGCCACTACTGGTTATTCATTTTAGTTACAGGGTGGTATAATTGTTATAGTCTAATTAATATAAATGATAGTACCGCAATAGTTAATGTTTTATCCAAAGACATATAGGAACTTTACTTCACTTACTATTAACCATTATTTATAATGATAGACATGTTCAGACTGCAAAAAGCTATGGCTAATGACATAGAAAGGGGTTTGAGTCAGTAACACAGCCCATACAGAGGAGAGCAAACCCGCTGATGCTTAATGCCCCCGCCATGGCAGTGTCTACAGGGAACAAAGGGGGCCACTAGCCACTGTAACTTTACCTATTGAAGGTCACCCTACTTCTTTCCTGGTTAACACAGGTGCAGCCCGCAGTGTTCTTAGAGAACAAGACCTGCCTGACTCATCGTTCCTTCCTGACACCGATGTCTCTTGTGTTGGTGCTGATGTCCTATCCCGCCTCCAAGCATCCATCACCCTCACTGCAGACGGCCAGGTTCAATTAAATACACCTTTGTCATGAAAAGACACTACAGTTCTTTGTTCCCTTCCCATTTTACTGTGGAGATGATCTACCCACAACAGAACATTGCTCAATTAATCTTCTTTGCTATCTAGTAGAACAAGGATGTAAAGCTTCACGTCTCAAGCTGCAATTCTGCCAACCTACTGTTATCTTCCTTGGCCATTGTCTGTCTCAGGGAACCAGACATCTCACCGTGACCGAGTTAGAGCAGTACTGGACATTCCACCTCCAAGGACCTCAAAGTCACTACACGCCTTCCTAGGCCTCATTTCCTATTGCCGAGCATGGATCCCAGAAGCCTCGCTCCTTATGCAACCTCTCTATGATGCTCTCAAGTCAGACCCATTTTGCTTGTCCACAGAAGCCCTTGACAACTTCTGTTCTCTCAAACGTGCTATTGCTTCTGCTCCTGCTCTTGGCCTACCAGACTATACCAAACCCTTCAAATTGTTTGTTTCTGAAAGACAAGGCCATGCAACAGGAGTACTCACTCAGGTCCATGGTCCTGGAGGCCGCCACAAGCCTATTGGATTTTTCTCCTGCCAACTGGATATTGTGGCCAGAGGACGTCCCTCTTGCCTTCGGGCCGTCTTTGCTGCCAAAGAGCTCATTGAAAGAACTGGAGATCTTGTCCTTGGCCACCCCCTGGTTGTCTTGGCCCCTCATGACATTTCTGCCATAGTCAACCAGGTCCAACTTAAGCATGTTACTCCTGCTAGGCATCTTCGCCTTCAATGTCATCCTTTGTTGCCTGACAACATTACCCTTCAAAGATGTCAAGTTCTCAATCCGTCCACTCTTCTGCCACTCCCTGAGGGGGGTGTATACTACGGATTCATCATGGACGAAACTTATGTTTTTCTTCTCACTGGCACCATCAAGAAGGAAATGCATCCCAACCTATCCTTTCATGATGGACAAGCACTCCTTCATGACGGAGCAGGATATGCCTTCTGTACCATGTGGTACAAACCAAACATCACTCCTGAACCCTACTATGAAGATGAACTCTATCATCTGGTCGAAGTAAAACTCTCTGCACAAGACTTCTACTGTGATTCTGAAGGCAACAGTATGGTCTTGATTCATCTACCTCCGGAACTCAAGTATTTGTACCGTTATTGGAACACTGCCATTCCACATGTCCCTGTGACCAAGTTGAAAACAATATCATGGAATGATCTTGGGCCTATGGCAAAAGCATGGGCCACTATGGACGAATCACAGCTACAGGAAAATGGTGTTGTCAAATATCCAACAACTGACCACCTAAAAGCATGGCCACGTCATTTCCTGGAAAATGAGTTCCAAGATTTAACCATAGTGAATGACTACGACCCAAATACACCTCATGACTGTTTTGAACAGATGAAAATGGAAACAACACATCTACCAACTGTGCATGAAGACCCATTGGTAGATCCCGATCTCACCCTGTTTGTGGACGGCTCAAGATATGCTGATGAAGAAGGAAGATACCATACAGGATATGCCGTAACCACAACAGATGAAATTGTCAAATCATCATCTTTACCATCAACTATGTCTGCACAAGAAGCTGAATTGCAAGCCCTGACTTCAGCATGCAAGATCTCTGAAGGAAAGCGCGCCAATATCTACACGGATTCAAGATATGCACTGGGCGTGGCTCACGACTTCGGATTAATTTGGAAAACAAGAGGATTTCTTACCACCGCCGGTACACCAATCAAGCACGGTTCCGCAATCAAGGAGCTGATGGACGCCCTCCTACTCCCAGAAGAAGTGGCCATTCTGAAGGTAAAGGCACATGGGAAGTTGGACTCAGATGAAGCAAAGGGCCACCATCTAGCTGATCAAGCTGCAAAACAAGCTGCAAGAGAACTACAGGAAGTGGACAGAAGTGTGTCCGGAAACGAAGAAACTCCCACATTTACCTTGCAGACACTTCCAACTGATCTAAAAATCCTACGGGAACAACAGGCTGCAGTTGCTCCTGAAGAAATACAAAGATGGAAACAGAAAGGGGCAGTTCTGAAGGATGGAGTGTACTCCAACAACCTCAAGTTCTGCCTCCCTAAGAATTTGTACCCAGCAGTCGTACAATGGGCACACGGACCTGCACATTTATCAAAGGATCTAATGAATGCTCTTGTACAAAAATACTACCTCACTGTCCCCATATGAGATTCTATTTGGGACTGCACCTAGGCTAGGTTGCTATTTTCCCCAACAACTACAACTTCAAACTGATGTCTTAGTAGATTATGTAACTGAACTCGCAAATGCTTTGAACAAAATCCATGCCCAAGTTTTCTCTTCAATTCCAGATCCTGATTCTGACACAGGCAACCACAGTCTGCTCCCCGGTGACTGGGTTCTGGTCAAGAAATTTGTGCGAAAACACACCCTGGAACCAAGATTTGACGGACCGTTCCAAGTTCTCCTGATCTCCCCTACCTCTGTCAAATTGGCCGGAAGGCCTAACTGGATCCACGCTTCCCATTGCAAGAAGACACCTGCCCCAGAGGAAGCTAACTCTATGCAACCATGTGCCTCTGGTACATTATCTCCTTAGTTGGCCTCCTTAAAGCCCAGCAGGTGGCCATCACCAAAGATGCTAGTGGGTACACTTTCTGGTATAATTCATCATGTACCCATGTGGCTACATTCACTTTTGATTACTGTGATATTGTAGAATGCCCATTCCCTAAGTCACAGATTCAAGCCATTTATAAAGATATACCACAAGCAAAAGACCCTTACGTTTGTGTAGTAGATGAACAATGGGGTTATGACTGTAACTACTGGGGGGCTGCGGGATGGAATACTGGGCCTGCCTGGGGTTATAAACCCAAAAGTGCTTTATCTAAGATAGACAATCAGGGTAGATCCCTCCTTCAAAGAATG